ATATGTTGCTCTTCCTGTTTGTGAGCAGTGTAGACGAAATGTTTTACAGATGTTTTTCAACAAAAAAAGAACAATACCTAAAATGATTTTTTTTGTGCAGAAATGTAACATTTGAATTGAATGAATGACTGTATAAATTTACATGCTATTTAAGGAAGTTGCTCGTTATGATGAACAAATCGTTAGTATGGAACATCTGCTAATTTGTTCCTAGTTCCTCATTCTACAGAATATCTGCAAATGATGATAGAACTAAAATGATATAGTCGTTTCCATGAAAAAAGCTTTTAGTTGCTTCGAATTTGTGTCCTCATCATGCAAATGCATTAAAGCAATAACTATAAACTTATTTTATGGGCACTGGAAAGCATAAAAATAAGTTTGATTGCGTGGATTACGCAACTGGGGAATGACAAATTTAGATTACGTACATAATGAATGAACGGATGGATGAGTTGATGGACATAAAACGTAATTCGTTTTGTCTGTTACCACAGCACAGAGGTCAACAGCGTTATTTTAGCACTTGGACAGATATGGTCGTCCTCAACCATAAATATCTAATGCAATATGTGATGATGGCCATTGTTAGCGATGATTGATATCTTCGCATTTATGAACGATCGTTAACGAATGGCAAAATGTTGTGATACAATCACTAAAGTAATACAAAGTATCAAGTCATTCACGAGTATTGTTCTGGGTCATTTTTAATTAATTTCGAATATTCGTCCAACTTAATTTCAATCGAACGAGTGAATTCTGCCGCAGAAACTGTTTCAAATGTTCATGAGTTGGAGTTAGGAAGTGGAAAAATGTAATTCAAATTCAAATTTCTCATGGAAAATTTCTCATCTTCAGCTGCCTCATGGTTCCTACTGCAAAGCTGAAACTTTTCTATAGTTGAATTGTACGGTTCCTCCTTCTTTGCATAGTTGACAACATTGTGAATATCATGATGCATGATGTCAGTGTACGAATACTGAGCTCAGCTAGGATCTATTTGAGTGTGCGATTCAATAACATCAGGCCATATATGCGTGAAGAAGCAAAAGCACACTCCCTCATAATTAGGCAGTATAGTAAGTGAAAGAATGATATGTAAGCATGTAAAGACGAATGCATGATTCTTTAATCAACGCCAAAGATTGAACCGGAACTCTAGCTTGACTTCCACTCGGAGCGGACTTCCATGAGTGAAATTAATTGATTAGTGCTGATTACAAATTGAATTCTCTATGTGCTGGCATGTTGTTAAATTACAATGTGTGCTACACTAACACATTACTTTTACGCGAGGAATTGCATCCAAATTAAGAGCGAGACGAAATAAATGAATCGTATAAATGTCATTATACGAAATTATTCGCACTCGATTTTGATCTCTTGGAATGATTGAAATAATTTTATGGAAGAAACTCTATAGGGTTTCTCATCACAGTCTCAACAGATGATGTTTATCACCAAAAAAAGTTCTCTGTTTATTTTGAGATTATCGAACTCGGTCTGGTTTCCCTTAATCCAGATTATAACAACATTTTTCTCAGTAACGTAACAATCATTCCTTTTAGGTGACCGCTGAATATTTGTTATCATTACTCTTACATAATGTATTATAGATTAGCGTAGGCTTTGTTTATTTTGTTTCTATGTAAAGTGTTTCGTGCAGAACAGACAAGCCGCGCCGTTTGTTTTCAGTTTACACTCATGAATATGCATTGTTATGGCGCTTAAAAACATATTCCTCGTTTTCACCCGCAAACATTACATTTGGTCGTTGACAACAGAACAACTTGATTTGCGTAAAAGGAACTCAAGAACACTTCTTCCTGTTACCGAAAACCACCATTAAATATGTGTTACAACTATAGATTTCTCTCTGAAGCAAACTGAGGGTTATTATCAGCTTTGAACTGAGAAAAATTTTAATTGAATGAATTCTGACCGGAACTCGTCGAACCGTCAATCAGGAAAAGATATTACAGGACGAGTTGGGTGTTTCAATTGTTCATAATCTGCTCCATCATTCCTAACGCCTACCTTTACAAGCTGATGGTTAAAATTCCTTATTGCAGTTTCAAATTTTGAATGCTGCAAAGTTAAAGAAAATTTTCCGAACGGAAATTTTCTGGTCAAGATTTCGAAAAAATGTCAAAAAATTCCTTTCTCAGTTGAAGAAAACGCTGAAAAATTCCCGAAAAAACAATGCTTCCTGACGTTTTATATGGTTAATCATGGTTCATTTTTGCAAATTTGAAGGTTTCCTCCAAATCTAACTCCAGCTCCCCACCCCACCCCCACCCCCTCCATTCTGCAATTAATAGCAAAATTACTGAAAATGAGCAAACGACAGCAAAAGTTGTTGTTTACGAGTTAATCTCTACATCTCTTATGCTGATAACTCATTCATTAGTGTCATGTTCACTCGTCATCGCACAACATCACTTTTCTTAACAACAATACAACGATCTCTATGACACCATCACTCACGTGTGAAAATGTCTTGAGAATGTTCGCTGCAAACATTTTGATAAGTGAAAAGTGAAAGTTTCATTAAGATTTCATTAACCCATAAAATACGAACTATAACCCATAAAATCCCATCCTATATAATGGTTTGGGCAAATTATTTTGTGATATTCCTCAGACTTCCCCAAAATGTAGTAAATGAAAACGTTCGAATTTGCAGCTGAAACATCCCTCAAAAGTATCCCTCAAATTTATAAAGACTCAAAAAGTAGGTGCCGTTGGGAGAACTTAGAATTTTCTGCCGGCATTTCCAGTCAGCATTCCTATCGTGCGGGTGATCAGAGCATGAAATTATGGTAAATCTTCAGCAATCCGAAATTCTCAAAAGTCCTTCAGCCAGTAATTTTTTAAGAAATGAACTTTTTGGTGTCTAAAGTTCTAGTGTTGGTATCATTGAGTTCCATCAAATCTTAACTCGACAATTAATCCAAGTGAATTCCGTTTCATATAATTAAGCACTTAATGGTCTCGTAAACGGTTTTTGGATGCCCTCGCCTTACACTCCCACATTATGCTCACCATTTGTTTGCTAATTGCCTTTTTTGTTGCAATGAATCTCAGTTGATGTTGTGTTGTCCTATTTACTGTGCTAACACTCTTTTGTGTGAGGAACAATTCAAGAAAAGGGCAGACTTAAGTGTGCGCACTTAATTATGCCATTTGATAGACACATTATCAATGTACCAAAAGGACATTGATTGTCTATCGTACTGTTTACTCGAAACCAAGTAAGGAAACAATTCCAGTGACTTTACTAAATGTACACATATCATTTGTAAGGAGTGTTGTCTCGTGCTCTAGGTAAATTCCTAATAAGTAGGTCATAAAGCATCACATTATTGCGACTCTATTAACGATGTGAATTGGTTGCAATTGATGAATTTATGAATGCATTGTTATGTGTTTGTGCGATCGTGTTACGCATCACTGAATCAATCCATCTGACGAGTAAAACACAACAAACGATCAACATCCCTTGCGTTGTTGCAGAAAGTTCAATTCATACTTCAGAATGAATTTTAGATTCCCGATCTGGTAAAAAAAAGCCTTTTTCAATATTTTTTCGATTGAATCTCTGAAGAGAGACAGGAAATTTCGGTGTGAACTAAAAAATTGTCATCAAAATTTGGCAAACAATAAAACTAATCCGTTGTAAAAGGTTACTGTGAAAATGGCTCGGAACTTTTAAAATGCCATCAGGAATGCCATCAACGGAAGCAGTTTGAACAGAACGAAATGCAAAGGACTCAAGAGGAATAGGGGCTGTTTTACATTGTGACGAGTGATTTATTATGTTTGTTTCTAGACGTATTTTCGGATGTGTGACTCGATAAACAGGAAACGAACGACGTCACTTGAATTGATAAAGGCGATTATTTACAATCGGAATATGGCGAATATATTCCATCAAGCGTGCAGAGAGTGAAAAATTACATTAGATTATGTGCTAACAAGTGAATTGCGAATGCAAGTTCAATGTCACCGGCATTGTTCGACTGTGAGCTAATCGCTGCTTTCAGAGATTTCGTATTAATAACTTCTTCACGTTACAAAGAACGTACCGCGCACTCAGGAAATGCCTCATTACAATTGAGTACTCAAAAGTGAGCGAGCATGAATGAAGGATACGCGAACGTGATCAGCACTCATTCAAACGAAACTTATACGACAACAAATCGAAATGACCACATTTGATTGCGGCTATTCGTCATAGGTACAAGGCGATTTTATGCGTTTTTAAGTGGCTACTGATTGCTTCACTTGCATATCAACAATTGCCAGTGATAACTTTATCAGTAAACAAGCAAGTATCAGTTCGTGCTAAGTTGATCGCTAGTGAGAGGATATGAGATCAACAAGTGTGGCTAGGAGGATGCATCTAAAGTTTTTCTATATTGTGATGCATAAATTAGCTGTTAATTGTTATTGGGTTTGTGGGCATAATGTATTCAATGAAATGTTAATGCGATATTGTCGGATAAGCAACATATGCGGTAACTTGACGCATCTGACTCATCAGCTGTAGTGGATGAGAGGCATTTGTAAAAAAATTAGTAACCAACAAGTCGAGATATTACAGGTCAGTTTCTGGCCCGAGAAGGCGGAAATAGTTTTAAGGCGACTGCAATGTATATATAGCGGAAATAACACAAGCATATCTCGCAATGTAGCTTATGGGGACTGTTATGCGTTTTTTTCCAAAGCAATGATCAAATTATAAAGTTGTCCATCATAAGATGATGAATGAAAAATGAGACGTTGGAAAAATAAATCAATGATCATATCGCTGGAAAATTTTCGTTCCTTCTCTGTTGCTATGGTTTTTATTGAATCAATAGGATGGAACGTGAATAACGGCATAGATGTAGGCTTTTGGCTTCAACGACACTTTCAAACGATGCAAAATACTGCCCTAGTTTTGCAGACAGCTGACAGAAGTGTTCGTAGTAATGAGTGCATTCTATTGGGGATTAGAAGGAAATGTCGATGCGGCGACAGCAAACAGCTGTAGAGGTAAGACTCGAGATATCAGCACCCATTTTGGGTTGCTGCATTCACTGCTCTATGAAATACAGCTGCAGTATTGAATGCCTCAGAACGCTTAGTTCATCACATACTGCTTAAGAAAGTTAAGTGAATCGAGATGCTTCTCACAAAGAACTCTACAATAATAGAGAGGTTTTCGAAAACAACAACGGATCTTTTCCTGAATACTGTTCAGAATATTTAAGGATAACAAAATAACCACCTTTATATTCGTGCGGCTTAAAAGGATGAAAAAAAAAACATCTGATTAGAGAAAGTTGAGCTCAAACAATCAAAATGAGCAACAATTTACTTCATGAAGGAAGTGATACATCAGATATCACAAGACACCTAATGTTCTCCCGGTATTGCCATGGTATCGACTGAATATTTTGTGCATTTAGGAAACATTCGAGCATGCGATGGGCATAATGGTCACCTTCAATTAAAAAACTCACTTTCTGTGTTTTGCACGTTTTCTCAAGGCTCTGAACATCATGGTTTGTGTGTCGAATCTCTTGTAAGCAAACACCACATATGGCCATCCGACAGACGACACAATACATCGAGAGCAGTTCGGTTGGGTGACTGAGGCATTTCGATTCCTTGATTGCGGTCACCGATGCGGGACAACGTGGCGGACGTCTGAAAGCGTTCGTTCAGCTCTTTCATGATCAAAATCTACGATCCACGAGCTAATTCGATGCAAACAAACTGATTCAGCTAACATTGCATTCACCTTGCTGATTGTGTATATGATTATTAGAAAGAACCTTATATAGTGCTCGTTAAGAAACACTTGTCCAACAATGAAAAACTAGCAGATGTTCAGCTTTTTTTTTCTGCTCGAAATGATCGCAACATATTACCAACTGCTGTGATCAGTGAAGTGCAAGAGTTTTTTTTGAACGGTTGTTTGGTTTGTATGAGAGATTACCTGGCCGAAGGATGTACTAGTTTATGAGTGGCGAGTGGCCCTCGGGCTGGATGTAAGGATGATTGACACGGCTGACAATAGTAGATGTCACATTGCTCACAGAATACGGATGCCTCAGCCGGTTCATCACTATCACACAACTGAAATTCATCAGAGCGTTCAATCAGAAACTGTCTTCTGAAAGTGAGCACAAGCAATCGATCAGACTCATTCCATAAGATATCGAAGTTTCCGGCTGATTCGTTGGGCACAAAGGCCTCCTCTGCTTGGATATTTTAAATCCATGCGTCATAGACGTCATAAGCTTGATTAGTTGAGCATACTCGAGAATGTGCAAAATTTTAGCAATTGTTGCACCTTAGGAAGATGGGACACCGATTTTTAAAAATTTGCGTTGGAGGCCCAAAAAAATTAATCGATTTAATGAGCATACCTGACAGGTAGGATGTTGATCGAGATTGTGTTTGTCTTTATTCGTTGGTGTACTATTACATCGATATCTTCAATTAAAACATTTCTGATTTATATCAAAATATCTCTCGATTACATCTTCTTCTTACAACACTAATGCCATTCATCCTCTTTGATCAAACTTTCTTCATTATCGATTACTTATTAAACTCAGCAAACGATTTAACGTCTTGAATGAATTACTAACTGATTAATCGAATTCACTAGAAATGTGATTTATTCAAACCTAACATTCGAGAAATTTGTGGAATAACTTGAAGTTAAAACTTTCTCAATGGAATTCACGGAATAAGTAAACAGCTGTCGCGTGCTTGTTTGGAATTTATAGATAATTGATTACCGACTATGGGCACTTAAGTGCAGCGGAATCAGCAATTTTTACAATTACTACTATTGAGAAGTGCGAAATCGCTCATAAAT